TGTAAGTTGGTAGAGCTTTAGAGAAGAGTTGTCTAACTCTTCAGTAGTTACTTACTCACTATGACAGCTTTTAGCCCTGTTGAACTATTATTTCTTGCTAAAAAGTAAACTATTTGGTAGATATGGTTACATTTATCAAGATGAGAGCTCAATAAGAGTCTGTTCTAAGTACTATTACAACATATAACTTAAGTAAGATTAACGGGGCCTCTACAATTACTTCCCAAGTAGTTGCTTAGTTTTCTCTCCGTGCAGTTAGAAAAGCAGTTTACGGTTCTTTTATGGGTAATGAACCTATTTTTAAAACTAAAATTATACGGTACTCAAAGTAGAGCCCGAAGAAACCATTCCTTAGCTGTCATAGAATACTTTGGCTCTTTGGAACTCTGCGTGAATGCCATCGTGGTTGCCATCGCTTTTACCTACTAGCATATATCGGAAAGAGTTAAAGACTTAAAGTTTTAAATGAAATCGACTTTAACGTCTGCTCTGTTTCTATCTTATTAAACCTCTCCTATGTAACGTTCGCAACCAGTAATTTCTCTTGTTAACTTTATTAATAAATTAGATTTTTAGAATTCAACTCTATTAAGGATAACCATGGGATAGAATAAAGGCTATTAAATATAAGAAATTATTGAAGATATCTCTCTGATAGTTCTTACCAAAAAATGTCAACAAGGTCTTTCACTACTTAGAATTTTCTAGGTAGAGGCAAGGAGTAAACTCCTATCCATACTAATGACTTTCGTGGGTAAGTTCCGTATTGAAGTAATAATTAGAGAGGGACACGGAGGTTTGTTCTAAATTCGGGCTTGGAGAGAGTCAAATAAGCTGAAACTATAGGTTTTCAAGTAGTAATTGTAATGCGAGTCACAACCAAATATTAACATATAGTGTATATCCCGCTTGCGTAATTTTTAGAGGTATCCCCCCGTGCGTCTTTTATCTAGCATATAACCATGTGCACCCTACTTAGTATATTTAGAGCAATAGCTGTTCAGATACAATTACTTGAACGTTTCATGGAAACCTATAAGAATTCCTAGAAGGTGATCTATGGTTGTTTAGTTGAGAAATAGATCACCGTCCAAGTAAAAGGTGTGTACAACCTAAAAAGATACGATCCTGGGGTATAGTACTTAATTAACTTGGGGATAATAACTAAACTTGTCATCGTCTAACTGAGAACATAATAAATATAATCTAAGTTGTTAGACACATTCTAAAGATCTTTCTCATACCATAATAAAGTAGGGAACCAGCACTGGAAATCAGTAAAATAAGGGGTATAAATAGCTACAAAAAAGTTCGGATTATTAAGATAGGAAGTGGTAAAAAAAATTGTACCTTTTACTCCGCAACCTGCACTGATATTATTTTAGAGGGCCTCCCCCGAGTTTCGATCTACGTTTGCTGACAGGAGGCCCCCCCCCGAGGGCGAATGCCTCTTCTATGTAGGTTACCTTAACTTGGATCATGTCGCCCTCTGTACTTGTTAGGTGGTATGAATTTGCTTTCCTTTTCCGCAACGTGTCAAACTTTAGGACCTAATTGGCTAGCATCCGATTTGACTCTCAAACTGGTATCTTCCTCAGTGGATCTTCTACTTAGTGTTAATATATAATCTAGAGAGTTATATCATTTTCTTTTTCTGTTCGGGTTGAAAGAGCTGCTCATATTGGCAAAAATTAGGTGATTTTTTAGTTGAAGCCCCGAGGAAGTGGTATCTTTCCAACATTACGAGCTATGTTATCGTCAGTGACATTAAGCTAGACCCTTCTAGTCATTGGATAGACCTAGAGCACTGTAGTGACCGGCCTACGTAGCTATTGGTTTTTTTCTCTCAATGCTTGCTCCTAGTAGATTAGCATCACTTACTTATGCCTTTTCTACTTAAACTGAATTAGGTAAATCTGCTAGACTAACTGTTGATCGGTTTTATGAGTAAAGATCCGTGCATACGGTTGCTTCCCTTCTAACTAAAGACGATCGAAAGCTAAAGACATGTTCGAATCATTGAATGAGTGATGAAAATAGTACTATGCCAGGTCCCTGGAGGACTGTACAAGTTTTAGGCAATAATAACAAGGTTTAACTTTGCTTAAAATATTATTATTGGGATGGAATACCCCTTATTAATCAAGTATACTATAAGAATAGTTCTCGCAGTTTATGAATTCTCACTCACAAGCTTCTAGGTGCTTGTTTATTAGTACGGTGCTCACTGCAGGTTTTTCACTTATTACTAAGCTCGTTTAGCCCCTAGTGATTTGCACGGATTTTATGTCTATTGAACACCTAGTTCTTGACTTTAAGGCATCCGTCAACAAGGTTCGAAGGTAGGAAGGTTTTCTCTTCTTCTTTTACAGTAGTAGTTAAACTCGAACTAACCGTAACCAGGCATTATATAGTACCAGGATCCGGTGTTAACTAACCTTTTCAAGCAACCTACTTCTTTGGATTTTAGATAGACAAGACAAGCCAGGCAGCCAATAAGAGCGTCGGCGGATCCAATCGTTTTTGGTCTCCTTACAATAGGTAACTTGTTCTGTTGACAGTACTCCATTTTGAGAGTGAAACCTAGATTATTCTACTTTGTTTGGCACGAAAGTTGGTCTGAAAACAAAAGGCAATAATTGCTACAAAGTTAAGCCATAGAGCGTTGTTGTCCACACAGGTATTTTCTCTTTCATGATTGTACTGACCTCTAGCACGTTGGACTAATTATCGGTTTGTGAGTCATTTAGTAGAGGGTTATCCTATTGGAATGGATTGATAAAGTCATTTCATGTAAAATTGTCTTAGAGATTGTAGAATCGCCAATTCTATGAGGCCTAGCAACTAAACTAGTACTTTGAGTTACCTGTATCAATCTTCAAACAGGTGAAGCTTGCGTACAAACTTATCCGGGTTCCTGGGCGGCATTATTTCTAAGTTTAGTGTAGATACTTTTCGGGTAGTTGTGAGTTTAAAAATACCCTATTCCGACAATTTTTTTTTTTACTGCAAGATTAGAGTACGACTCGGGTCAAGTAACATAAGAGAATCAGTTTAAAGTATGAAGTTAATATTAGCAAAAGATTGTGATCGATGTACTAGAGTATCCAATGAATGTTACAGTATCCAATTATTTAGTGAAGATGGCTATTATCAATAAAAATTAAACTAGAGCGCTCGTTTCAATGAGGGCTCTAGAGGAAAGTATTGTGAGCTCGACTCGTTGATTTTTATTGCCAAAGTTATCCTGTCAACTCGGGTATTAGCCACTGTGTAATACTGTGTTGTTAATTGTAGCAGTAGCCAACCTACTACTTGCTACATTGGGCTTGACCCTTCGTTTAATTAAGTTTGCTAGCCAAAAAAGATTTTTAAAAAATTCTCGTTAAAGCCCTAAAGTTAGTAAGTTTGCATGTATTTTTTTAATGTATGCTTATTAGAGTCATCGAGTTTAGAAATGTGGTAGATTTTATAATACTTTTAAGCTATAGAAGTTATAATATTATTTTAGGCATACTACAGCATGGCATGGCTCTGCAATCCTGCACTTATTATAATAGGGGTAGGTTCTTTACTAATGGCTTCCATTAGTCGAAGGAGTACCTTTACTGGTTAAAGCATTGAGTTGGAAACTCGAAGAATAGAGCTCAAGTCTGCATTAAAAACATACTTCGTATAGTGGTGCTCTACTCCACCTTCTAACTATTAGAGGGAGTACCTTCTGCAAATGTTCTCTTGGACAGGAACTGAGGACTAGTTAACCAGTACCCTCCGGAAAAATTTTGCTAGAACAATTCTTCATACCAGAGTTATTTTTTTTTTTAAAAAATGAATTTACTTTTTTTTATAGAGGAAGTTAATCTTTTTTACTGCGTTTTTTTTATATATTATTAAAGCTAATTTAAATATCCTGATACATATCCCCTTATTCCTTGTTTAAGCTTAAAATCAACGTATGCAATAAGGATAATAACCCGTTTAAAATACATAAATAAACTCTTAAAATTGGAAAGAAGTATTATATATTTTGGTATAAGCTTCGTCACCTCAGTATTTATTTTTATTATATAAAAATTACAAAGAAAATGAATCAAAGATGGTTTTTAAGTTATTTTGCTTCATAAAGAATTGATATGACCGAACTTAATATCCTAATAGACGATCCCCTAATCCTTAAAGGTAAGCAGCCAAATTTTAGGGTGAATAATACGGCAAACCTCTAAGAATATTCACTTAAAAATTAAAATCTTAGTTTCCGCTCCTTTCAAAAGAAGCGAATAAAAAATTATTTAGAAGCACCCTTTCAGCTATTCGTAACTAGAGTGCAAAGATACACATATTTTAATTTAAGTTATCCACAGGAATAACTCTTCCTCTTCTTATAATTTAGAAATTAAAAGGCTAATTTTTAATTTTCAGATGTAAGCTGTTAAGACCTTCGTGTTCAAACTATTAAAAATATTCTTAAAGTTATTAGACTTCAGGTCTTAAAGTATTCCCGGAAACGCTTCCGTTTCAACAAACGCTACTTTAAAAGACGAAAACCGCTTTAGTATAGCAAAGAGTCCAAAGCAAGAATTTTTTTTCTCTCGCTGTCAGTAGTAATCCTTGTACGAAACGTTTATAAGTATAACTTGGGTAAATAACCAAAACGTATGATAAGGGTGCACAGCTACTGCCAAACCTTCGTGTTATGTCTTGCAGGCGCGACTATCTAATAACCACGAACGCCTTCAAACGACCCTAAACAAAAAGACACGAGATTATAATAGATGCTAAGCAATGCCTAGATTCTACTATCTACAAATTGTGGTATATTTCGTAAATTTCTTCTTAACTGTGTAAAGGCCTCTCTAATTGAAGCTTTGCTTCTGGATTATGTAACTTAGTCTCTAAATATTGTAAATCAGGTAAAGTTGCCTTATTACTTGCATACAAAAAGTACTATATAGAAACACTGTTAATATTATAAATAACAAGAATAACTGGCTTATAATCAAAAAATATTTATTATTTTTTTTTTAACAGTAAAATTCGGTTAAAAAAAGTCAGAATCAGTTAACTTAATAAATACCTAAAAAATAAATATATTAGGTAACAGTAATTAACAAAGTAAGAGAAAGCAACCTCTTCAAGGGAAGTTTGGCCCAACTGATAGCTTTCAATGCGACAGCTTTCAATTATCTTAGTAATAACAGCCAATAGCTCTCTCCAGCCTATCAAATCCTTAGAGACATGGCATACAATAAAGCCCTACAATAATATAAGTTTCATATTAAAAAAAAAATAAAAAATAACACTTTTACTTCGCAGTTATCAATTTCCGGGGATGGAAGAAGAGTGTTCATGTTAGTTAGCACTTTATGAACCTCATCTGTTGGGCCTTTTATTTTACAGATACTCATATGAATAATATGAAATAATAAATATATAGGTACCTTTGTTATTTACTTTAATAAATATGGAATATCGGTTTCCAAATTTATACTTAAGATGCTGCACGGAACCAATGCACTTTGGTTCACCACAGGCTAAAATTGTTAGGCGATGGCAAACAGCCTCACATTCCTCCATTCTATAGGAGCGTGCAAAAATAAAAGCAAAGCAAAATCGTAGAGTATTACGAATGGGAAGTTAGGACTATGGCGTTTCCAAAGCCCACGTATCTTTCAAACAGATCCCAAAATTTTCTCCTAATTGCAGGATCAACTCCTGCCGTCGGTTCATCAAGGAACACCAGCCGGGGAGAGCCCAGCTATTAGAAAAATCAAACAAAACTCTATTAATAACATAATAGTTGACTACCAATGAAAGTGCTACGGATAGTCTGCGCCGGGTTCCTCTGCTGTACGTGCCACACTTTTTATGAGCTAACTTTTTAAGGTCAAGGCTAATTTATTTCATGTAGAAAGCAAAAATAATACAAGTAAAATGCAACTGTAAGAATTCACTCACAGCTCTAAGAACTCACTAATATATTTCTTTATGTAAGAACGGGGAATGTCGTGCAGGATAGCGTATATGTAAAGTGCTTGATAACCGGTCATATTATCAGGTAAAGGGTCGTCCTTTACGATGCTTTGAAAGTTTGACCAACAACTTTGAACTTAGTAAGGACCTGTGGGCAATAGCCAATCTTAAGTCGACCAAGACTCCCATAGTTCTTGGCTATATCAAATCCATTAATAGTTATAGAGCCCGCCGTAGGAAGAAGTTCCCCGATTAGCATTCTGAAAGTAGTGGTTTTTCCAGCACCGTTGCTACCTTTTTGGTTAAAAACTTAAGACAGTATCTAACAGTCGCTACCATAAGCGAAGGTACCTAATATCCCGAAGAGCTGGCCAGGTGATACACCGAAAGACAACTGTTTAACAGCCAGAAACACGCGGTTAAAACAGCGAAGTAAGGTGTGACTGTTGAATTCCTTTCGTAAGTTAAGAACAATGGCGGAATCGTTGTTTTTCTATTTCAGAAAAATACTTGAGAATGTTAAAAAGTGTAATCGTGTTAAAATAAATGCCTCGGTTATTTTTGATAATTTCTGGTATTCATTAAGAAGATCCTCATCATTAGAAACAAAGGTCCTTATAAATAAAAAAAATAGCGTATGCATAAAAAGTAAAACCCTAATAGTAAAAAACTAAGCTTGTACCGAATAGGAGTTGCAAAACGAGTTTGTAGCCATGCCATAATGGAGTTGTAGTATTCCCCGAAAAATAGTAGGCAAACGTTCAAAAACATAACCACCAAAAGTATGGCATAACGTAAGGCAAAGTCAGCTTTCTGTGATGGATTAAGAAGATCTTGTAGAACCTATGGTTTAGCAATTAATAATATAACTTGCTCATAAATTTTATAGGCAAAAAAAAACCATCAAGAAAGAGAAGGGCGGGAAAACTGAAAAAAGATATAATGCTGATTCATGAGGTAGATGGTGAAAGAATGCAAGTAAAATATGAGAAACTACTATATCTCCAACCTAGTGTTAAATAGCAACGTTAGTCGACAAAAGGAGGGCTTACAATAAAAAAATACCAGCAACGTAGAATACCCGCTTATGGGACTGTTAAACATAAAGGAGAATACGTACATGGAAGAGAGCATTGTAGGCATGTAAATGACCATGAACAAAATAAACTGGCCTACAGATGCTAAATCCACAAGTTCTTTAACGACCCAAAAGTACATATGAATAAGAGAAACCTGAGGGAAGATATTTAAGGAGGAAGACAATAAGAGTAATCAAGACTATCATGATGAGGGTAATAACAAAATCCCATAAAAAAAAAGAGCTCCAGTAAATAATTGGATGGACGCCCTAAGCCAATAATAGGTTACAAGTGAAATAATCTATGACGAAGAAAATTATAAAATTAAATACGGCAAGTAGTTGCAAATGCTTTGAGTTGTTAACTTTTTCCTTTATTACAAGTATAATGAAACCACTTGTAACAAAGGCAACAGCAATTTTAAAAGGAAAGGAGGAGGACGAGTCAGTAAAATTTTCTAAAAAGGATATATAAAAGCTTAAAAAATATAGTGATAGTAATGAGACAACTCACGTTTCTCTTCGCTACTCAAAACAATATTTCCTGTGAGGAAATGCTCAAATTTTTTATGGCTTTCAGAAGGTAGGAGTGCTCTGTTCATCGATAATGCAAGTAATAAAGACGACAAAGGAGGTTTATAAAATAATAATAAACCTTAAACAAAGATTGTTATAGAAATTAATTAATTCATGTGGAAGGATGGGAGACTCCGAATTATAAAAGATTGTAGTTTCCGATACAGTGCCGGCTTGAAAATTTTGTTAAGTAAAAATATTATGCTAATGATGCAGGTCAAAAAAAACTATATTATACATCTACATATAAAAGCGTGGAACATAAAATTATCATATATATGGTGTAGATCTTAAGTAGTGACAATATTTCTAAAATAGTTTTACTCTCTTCTAATAGAACAGCTTTAGGTCTGCCTTCTTTTTTTATCTTTTTCCCGGGATCTAATATCTGCACTAAGTTTGCAAAGCTAGCTACTTCTTAAATACTGATTTCCTTTAAACAAGGTAAAGTGGTAAAGAACAACTTTCCAGAAAGGGTTTTAATTACAACATGAGAGATTTTGGGTAGCAATAAATTAATATATCTCCCATTATGCATGAGTAAGAAGATAGAAATAGTAAAAAAAAGGCCTAATTTCAAAAAGGCCTAATTTCTAATTTAGATACAAGGCACCATTCTGTTTAAATGATATAGCCGCCGGAAACTTGGTAAAAATACCAGGCCACTCACTAAAGGAAAAACAAGTCAGTTTAATAATTTTAGTGGATATAGTCATTAACATTAGAGTTTCTTCAATTTGAGTTTTTATTTTCCCCTCTTCCGACAATAAAGTTGTAACTTCAAGTGCTGAATCCTCTTTAATTTTTAAAAAGAGTTACAAACATATTAAAATATAACAAAAAAAATTATATGCCTTTGGCAATACGCAAAAACTCCTTAACAAAAGGATTATAAAAGAGAGCAGGCTCCCTGGATATAATAAGTCCTGGAAGTTTATCAGTAGAAGAGGGGAGTGATACTAAGTTTGAAGCATTGTGCGAGCTATTAGTAATGCCCTGAACGTTCAAGGTTAGTCTTCCATAAGCTAAGTGTAGGTAGCTACTAAAGATACAAGATACCATTACAACAAGCAATATAATAGGAAGGAGTAGTTGCAAAAAAAAAGCTCCTAAGTCATTTTTTGTATACAAAAATTTCTTGTATAGCAGTGCATTCAAATGCCTTATTGCTAAGGGAAAGCCTTATGGTGACAATAAAATTTATAAGAAAACTAAGCCTCAGACATTAGTATGCACCTTTCTTTTTAGCAACGGCAGAAGAGACCTGTAGTGCATCAATTTCTGCCTCCAAATCATTGGTTCTACTCCCAGAAATAGCCTTTTTCAAGAATACAGGAGTTAGTACTGCTTCTTTTTTAACCAGATAAGAAACTCAGTTTAAAGAGGTTTAAACTATGGCTAAAAAATAAGTAGTGTGTACCCTCGTGGTTTGGGCCAGCAGCCTGGAAGAGTTTTTTTCCTCTTGAACCAACTAATTTTAGTATTATAAGTGCATAAAAAAGGAAATATATAAAAGTTACTTTTAGAAAAACGTTCTCCAAAGAACCCTCCGATATACCTAGACAGCGCAAAAGGGTTAACTACAGTAAAACTGTAAGAACTTCTTAATAATTAATAAGGACCAAAGCCACTGATGCCATATTTGCTTTTGTTTTCTTCCAAGGAATCAAGAAGATTTAGAAGATCAGGATCATCGATATTGGTGGGGACACTATATACCTTCATTGGTTTTAAAAAAAGTATGATTAAAAAAATTCATAATGTAATGCATTGCATTAGCATAACCAGCTCTCCAGCGTGGCCACGAAGCAAAACTGCTGAGGATACATGTTTTTGAACGAAAGATGTAACAGTGTCGATGCTTGCTTTCTCTATTAAGGGATATTATCAATTGCCGAGTAGCGGTTTTTTTATAAAGTGCCGTACCAGAGGATACGTCTCTAGCAAGGAATAATAATTGGCCTATATTTATTTGTCTTTTAAGGTTAAAAGGAGTTCCATAAGCTTTTATTACGCCCTTGATTAAGATTGCGACTCTATCGCCTAACATAAACTAAGTAGTTAGCGCTCTACAGTTAACTATCATATCTACGAAATCTGACATAAAAAGTCTGCTTCATCCATATAATGTGTGCTTAGGATCATGGTGTGGTCCTTCCTGAACTTTCTCAATAAATTTCTTATAAAGAGTCTCGCCCCCGGATCCACGCCTGACAGTATTAGTATATACAGTTAAAAAAAATCAGTTTTCGGAAATCACTGCATTTAAAAGCGAAACAGGGCTCTTAAGTAGAGTTGTTAATTATTCATAAGGTCGTTACTTGTTTGCTTGTTTTATTTATTGCTTACTAACGATGTTAAATAGAGCGTATATTAGTAAATAACTCTACTAATACAGTCATATATATATAAACCAGCAGTAGGTTCGTCGAGAATGATAAATTTAGGATTTCCAATTAATGCTAACGCGAGGCATAACTTACGTCTCATACCCCCGGACAATATTTTGGGGTAAGACTGATAATATAAGTAATTAAAAAAATTAAAGCAACCACCACGACTCAAAAAAACATAACAGTTTTAAGGTGTTCTAGATTTAATATTTGTAACATTTCCTTAACTTCGCGACTGAGCAATTTTTCATTCACTATAAAAAAACTATTAGAAAACTTAATAGCCTCCCAAACACAAACAACCTCTTCGGAGACGACAGATAAATGTCATGTGCTCCTCTATTGTCATTGAGCTAAACAGTACATTGTACTGAGGACAAAAACCTATTTGAAATATTTCATGTACACTGGAAACAAAGGTGACAAACTTACAAAAATAACCAAACCTAAATTTTCTCGAATAGTACTCATGTCTTTTCGAATATCGCAGCCATGAATGTAAGCTGTACCCGAAGTGGGCTTGAGTATTCCCGTTAATATCGATATTAGCGTCGATTTGCCTATTTTACACAGCTCATTTAGTAGAAACAATTAGATGTTTCTTTTCACCTGCTCCGTTGAGGCCAAGCAGACCAAAAATTTGGTTTTCATACAACTGGACGGTAATTCCATCCAGCGCAACCGACTTTTTCCCGTATACCTAAACACAACGGGTCTAGTCAGAGGTGATTATAAGCTGAATCTGTTAACTTTTCTTAGGTTGGAAATCGAGACTGCAACTGGCAGCTCCGAAATCGCCGGCTCAATGTATGTTGAATTTTTGTCTACCATGACCGGAGCTTCACTTCAGTTATATATTTATTTTAAGTTATATAAAAAAAGAGAGAAGGAATAATGATTTAAAACAGACGTTTTGCTAATATCAGGAGAATTGTTGTTATTTTTAAATAAATTCATGAGCCAAAGCGCGGGAAAGTACCAAGGCTTCCGAATACCATACTTTCCAGGATAAATTGCTACAGTGAAATATTTTTGCGAAGCAATTCTAATATATAAACTATTTAAAGTTCGGCACTTACCATTTATATAGAAGCCTAATAGGAACTGAATAACAATAAGAAGCAGGCACATACATAACGGTTCCATAAATCCCGTAAGATTATTTTCAATCTGAGCAACATCTTTATTGTCTTTAAGAAATCCATGGCGAATATGAAATTCAATAAATAATGCTATGCATCGCATAAAGCAGGTGGTAAAAAAAAAGGAGAGGCCTATTCGGACTAAGGGTAGAGAGGAAACTTGAGGATACGCCTAACAAAATTAAAAAAAGTAAATAATTTAGTTTCTATAACAAACTATAGAACTCGCAAATTACCTGAAAAATAAAATAAGGTAAGAAGGTTAAAAAGTACAGTAACAGGCAGATAGTGGATGACAATGACTCTGTATTAACAAGACTATAAACTAGAACACAAAACGAAAGAAGGCCGAAGGCAAGTAAAACTTGGAAAATAATAATTATCCCTGTTGGTAAAAGGAAAGTAAGACAAGATAATCTAAGACATAATAAAACATACCAATAGGGACAGGACTAAAAGTAATAATATTTATTATAGTGAGTGATAACATAACCAAAAAATTTCGAAAAAAAAAGGTGGTTAACCTATATTAACAATTATTTAAGGAAGTTGGAAAAAGAATTCGCTATAAACTATAATAATATAACCATGATAGCCAATAACACGTCTCAGTTGCCCCCATAACTTTTAAATATTCTTTAAGCCTACAAAATAAATAGGTTAAATAATTTTTGACAACTAAAATAAAAAAAGGTAAAAATACCCTCTCTCCTTTTCCTTAACAAGGGTCTTGGTAATGACCATGATAGGATGTACCAATGAAAGTACATAGAATACTAATAATGACGTGATAGCCCCTAAGAATACAAATCTTAGCTTAGTTAACAGCTAGCGCAAAAACATAACCCTTAGATAAGTTTGGAGTATAGGGCCTTAAAGTAATACTTCTGTCAGGAAAAAAGGGCGTGATGGGGAGGTTATTCAACAAAAGTACTCTTTCAAGTTCAAATTGCACAGTATAAAACCCCCCTTCCCCGCCCCTAGCAAGTTGAGTAAGATTGTATCCAAGAGTTTTTGTAGTGCCAATGTAATAAAGAGACAAATCTTATATATAATTGAAAAGAATGATTGTCTGTTTGTTTCCGTGAAAGAGAAGTTAAACAACATACTAGCTATTAGGTTATCGCCAACTGAAAAATCATAAACAGGTTCAAAGGAGACACTTGCTTTTCTTATCAAATCTTAGATAAAAAAATTTATTAAAGTTAAAAAAAAATAGAAGAAAAATACTATATAATAGTAATAAATTTCAAAGAAGCAAGTTTACAACACCTGCGAGGTTAATCGGGGAAGAAGAGACGAAGACTCTCAGGCTGTTTGAAATTATATTTTTATTTATTGTTACTAAAATAAATTTATATAAAATAAATATTAAAAGAAATTGCAACAAGTATACCCCCTTTCCAAAGAAAAAGATCTTTTGACACAAGTGGTAGAGGTCCTAGTAGAAATAGAACTATACCAAGTCCAATTATTAACCCCCAATATCTTTTTAACTAAATAAAAATAAAATTTGAATTAAATAAGAATAAAAGAAAATATAGAGACCTGTTGATTCAACCCTTTTTTTAGTAGCAAGAAATATAGGTATAAAAAGTCTCTCATCTCGATAAATGAACTGGTGTTAACAAGACTAAAGAGGAGTTTATACCTTACTAGTCGGATACAAAAGGAGAAAGTTCCTTAAAAGCATTTACTGTTTCCATTCACATGCATAGGGCTTCCGCTTAGGTCACAATCCTCTGCTGCACGCGCAAATTAGTTTCTAAAAGAAAGTTAAACCCTAAATAAATAAAAAATAAAATGACTTAATTTGGCAATAAGTCGTGCTAGGACATTCTCAGATTTTCCCCTACAGGAGGGGATTGCTACGGTAAAAGTTGTCAGGGTTTACTAGTTTTACAAAAATATCATAACGGGCATATTACCAGGTTTATAAATATGGGGCTTGTGACACGGCTTTTGCAGACAAGATTTCTAATATTCAGGGCTCTCATTATCCTTTAATAGCAAGCGGAAGTCTGTAAATCTACTTACTTAAAATGATCATACAATAAGTATTATTTAAGCTTGAATCAGTTAATATATCTCCCTTTAACCTTTTTTAAACTTGAAAATTAGAACTTATTGCTTTTTAATCTGATTTAAAACTTAAAGTTTAACTTTTTGGTCTTAAAAGAAATAATGTTTTTTTATGGCAAGTTTACAGCAAGGGTGTTTACACTATTTAAAAATTACATTGAAAATAAGAACAACTAAAAAAATTTTACGCGATTAAAATGTTTAATTTTGGCCGTATAGATCCATTTTAAAACATCATTATACAGTTTTAATATATTTTACGATGGAAATTAGAAATTAGATTGGTTATAGAACGTTAAAAAAACTGGTTAATGTATTTTAGAAAAAAAGGTTTCCTATAGGTTTATAATGAACGTTAGTTTTATTTTCAGTACGTTAGGTGTGTAGTAACAGGCCCTGCCAGGTGAGAGTTGCTGTTATAAGCTCAGCGGGGAAGAGCATTGAAGCAGCCCGTACTCAAGGCTGCGGTTCGATTCCCACCGACGCCGCTCTCAACGGCACGGACATTGGCAATTGGGGATAAACGGGGTTGGCTTTCCTAATGCTAGGGTTTGCTATGGTAGGAGTTTTGAGGGTTCGAACGTTTCACAAAAATGTCTTAAGGGTCGCACTTGGATGGATATTTTACTCGGCTTTTGCAGATAAAATTATTAACGAATCAGATCTCACTATTAATATACCCATTCCATAGTTAACGGAAGTCTATAAATCTGTTTACATAAAGAAGACAAAATTTTTTGGTTTAGCATTTGCCCATTAATATCCCTCTCCCAGTAACTCATTATTAAAAAAGAAGCATTTATTTTTTTTATTCTAATAAGAGACAAAGTTTAACTTCATGATTTAAGGGAACTACACCGATATGCTTCTTATGTCAAGTTTACGACAACGGTTTATACAAATTTTACAATTATATTCTAAAAAAAGTTATATATACAAAAAAATATTACCCGATCAAACTGTTATTAAATATGACCGTAAAGGTAATGAATCTTATATTTGGACACAAAAACTTTAGTTTATTTATAGCATAAATTTTTTAATGTAAACAAAAAATAAAAGAAATTATCTAATCCAGGTTATAAGATTTTCAACTAATTTATAACTTAAACTAATTTTTCGTCTCTAGGTTTGAAAGGAATTAGTTTTTTTTTAGTATTTTAGGTATATTTAAAGTGTACGAAATAATTGTATATTAAAAGCTACACTACCACCCACAGTTTTACTTAAACCTCTTTAAGGTTACAGTAAAAACACTAGCATTGCCGAAGGACATTAAAAATTTATATGCACACAAGCGACATCGTCCTCGCGGTGGGACCTCCCTCAGCGGCCACGTCTGGTTATAGGGCTTTGGTACAGGGCTAGGTATTCGGTTTAGGTAAGAGTCTCGACTTTGATTTCAAGTGGTCCAGAAAATTTTTTTTTATGGATCTTTTAATAATTTCCTTATGCAGTTTTTTCTTTTTAAAATACCTACGACTTCCGCAGGAACTTCGTACGTTGGTTTCTTAAAAGAGCCCAGGATTGGCTATCAGCTTCTCCTTTTTTGGTATTTTAATCGTTTCCTTAAAAACTTTATAGATTCTCTAAGATCGTGTCTGAATTATTCAGCACTTGAACACATTTAAGATGGTTGATCAAATGGTTTACTCATACATAAATTTTGTTGTTTCTAGGTGGTCCATTTATGTTAGTGCTATACTATGCATCATTCATATATAATAATAACACACAAAGGATATTATAATAGTGTTTATAACAATAGGAATAGCGTAAACTGTGTATAGAAAAATGAGTGAAAAAAAATGAAAATATAAGTAAATCTGAGTGCAGTAACTGGAACTTTTTCAGGTCGCCCTGGGTAGTAGTAATTTTTTACGCAAGGAATGAAGGAAAATTTTTTTTTTAATTTTTTGCCGTGCACTGCGGAGCAAGGTGGGGGGGTTGTAGTTGTAGCGCTGGGAAAGGCACTAGCACTCCTTTCTTTCCCCTGTGAAACTAATTTTTAGTACTGGGACGAGAGCCTCTACCTACGGGGAGGGGTGAGTATATTGATATATAAATTTTTTTTACAGTACTGGGGATGGGGACATTTTTTTTGTAATAGTGGGGCAAAGAGGAAGAGTACTAGAGGGAGAAAAGAAAACGAGGAGGTATCATCTTTCTACTTTAATTTTAAAGGTTGGTAGCAATTAAATGTTTTAGATTAACCTGAATGCTCATAATGTATTTAATTGACTAAATAAAAATGCGGCCGGCGTTGACCTTTACATTAAGGACCCCATTTCCTACATGCCTGTTACTGCATGTTGCGTTGTAAGCAGGTCTTAAGGGTGTGGTCAATATTAAATCCTCAGCTTGAATTGCCCATGGTTGGTCAGTCTTTTTATACAATTGTAATTTACATCTAAAAATTATTTAATTGTAAGTATAAATATATAATAAAAACTTTATTGTTATATAAACTTTTTATTATGTATTTTTACCAATATTATGTTATATTTAGTTTTCTTACGGATCTTTAAGGTGGTTACTCCCTCACTTGTAAGTTTTTAATTTTTTTGGTTTTATGCGTTTAATAACATCTTAAAAAGTTGTATCTAGTATTTAGAAGAACCAAAAATTTATATGCTTTTATACTTTAATAGAAAAAAGCAACAAATCTTTTTATTAAAATGGTATCAATTTTTTTAAAAATGGCAGCAGGAAAGTCTAAGGCTATTCTTCTGTAGGCTTTAAAAGCCAAATGATATGAATAAAAAGTCAATTTTTTTATTATACTTTTTTTTGGGATAAAGTAGTAGGCTTTGTGTTTTTATCAAATTATTTAGTCAAAAGACCTTTTTGTACAAGGACTTATAAATAACTTTCGTACCAGTTAATGTACGGCCTTCTTTTGGCATTGAATAATGCAGGCATTGAACTCCACATGTAAAAATAACCAGTTAGAATATTTTTTAAACTGTCTAAAAAGCAACTTTTCTTCATATACTCCCATTGCTGCTCTGGTGCAATCTTCCCATGGACAAGAATTATGTTCCTTGAGAGCTAGCGCCTCGGGTTCACCAACAGTTGAGTTGTCGAGAGTAGTGACTGTAGTTTTTTTTTAAAACATTACTTTCATACGTTATTCTATTAGCAGAGAAATATATCTCCTGAGCTTTGCCCTTCGGAAAAAAAGAGTGTGATAAAAATAAATTAGGTTCTTGATCTCTTGCTCACGAGATAGAACCATGCCTTTAGTCCTAGAAAATAAGGCAATACTTGCACTCTCTCAACCTTGCTGACGATATGCTTCACTTAGACCAGCATTTAAATAAGATATATTTTACGAATAAAGTGGGCGGTCTCCATAAAAGAGTTTTAGTCAACTTTTCTTTTAACTAACTTTATCTGGTAGAAATTATCTACTTTTGTTTTTCTTTAACCTATGCACTAATCAACCTTTAGTATAATGATTTTTTGCTGTCGTTTTGTGACGGCTTTCAGCCAATAGGCTAAAAAGAAGTATTACTTCATTACCTAAAGGGGAAATCAAAGACTGTGTTCAATCTATAAAGCTAAAAGTAGTATATTGCTAATTGTCCAAAAAATAATATAAAAAAGAGAGCCTAGAGCGCGTGCGCACTTTTAAAGCTTAACAGCTAAGAGAACATATTTTCAACAGATTAAGATTTTGTTTAAACAAACCTCCAGACGGTCAACAAACGCGCTGATATATTTAATGCGTCCTTGCAACTTAGCAGGTTTCTTCAAGATGAATCTTACTTCTCATTAGAGGTGAGTATACTAGGTTACTTATATGAAACAAAACAAAAAATTTAAATTTATTAAACATGAAAATCGAAAAATTATTATATATTGTTTTACAGAGTCGTCCTGGGCAGAAACTATGACTAAAAAACCATCATGGGGTATATTAGGCTATCTAATGATTACCTACAACATCCACGTGCGAAGCAAATAAATTGTACACTTAACAAAACAATTGTAAACATGGATGAAAAACTATGTTAGAAAACTATTATCCGAGTATGAGACAAAAGTACACATATATACACATATGAAGCTGATAAAGAGGGATGCTTAAATAAAAGGCGAAGACGTGGATAAATCTTACATTGACATCAAAATGAATGTCCAAGAGAGAAGTACGAAGTGCACCATATAGCAACAAAAAAGAACTTAGCGGATATATTTACTGAACCATTATCTAGAAAAAAACCCGCTTTACTAATAAAGAAAATAATTTTTGATCCCAGGGATATACTGGTATATTAGAATTAAAAGATCTACTCCTCCCACTAGTATCCTATAGTTAAACTTTTTAAAATAAACAACCTCTTTAAGTTCCTTATCAAAATTTTAAGTGTACTAATTATTATTAAGAGTAATGAGACACATTTTTTTAATCAGGTTATATGGAATATAATATCAATGCTATTAACAAATACATATATACATACAGATGCAGCGCTTTTGCCAATTATTTTGCTTGTTTATTTATTTAACACTTTTATTTACTAATTTTTTTTTTTTGGTTGAATTTAACTACAAAATCTTTTATTTTATAAATTAATATTAAATTTCTTTTAAAAAAAGGTTGT